CCTGGGCAACTTGGTGAGACCTCATCTCTACAATAAGTCAAAAAATTAGCCAGACGTGGTAGCGCACGCCTACTTTCAGCTACTTGGAAGACTGAGCGGAAGGATCGCCGGAGCTCAGCAGGTCAAGGCTGTGGTGGCCGGGAGCGTGCCACTGCACTCCAGTCTGGGTGACAGAGTGAGACTTAAACTCAAAAAAAAAAAAGATTAGCTGGTGTGGTGTTGTACATCTGTAGTTCCAGCTGAAGGGCCTTGATGGGAGGTGGGAGAGAAAATGGTGGAATGTCGAACACACAGGATTAAAAACTCAAATCTGTCCTTGGTTTTGTGGCCTTAGTGCTTTAGAGCTGGGTGTGGTGGCTCACACCTGTATTTCCAGCAGTTTGGGAGGCAGAGGAGAAGAGAAGTTTAGTTCAAGATCAGCCTGGGCAACTTGGCAGGACCTTGTCTCTAAGTAAATAAAAAATTAGCCTGGCATGGTGGCGTGCGCCTGTAGTTCCAACTACTTGGAAGGCTACAGATCGAGGCTGCAGTGGCCATGAGTGTGCCATTGTACTCCAGCCGGGCAACAGAGTGAGATTCTGACCAAAAAAAAAAAAAAAAAATGACGCAAATCCAAGATCATTCTAACTTCCCTTTAAAGGCATTCTTCCCTCTTTTAGAGTCCTCCTTCAGAACAGATCTAAAAAAACATTTTTAAAAAATTGAGATATAATCCACATACCATAAAATTCCCTCATTTAAAGCAGGCAAGTCAATGGTTTCAGCGTATTCACAGTTGTGCAACCATCATCAAAATCCAAGTTTATTTATTTATTTTTTTGAATTGGAGTCTCACTCTGTCACCCAGACTGGAGTGCAGTGGCATGCTCACGGCCACCGCAGCCTCAACCTGCTGGGCTCAGGAGATCTTCCCACCTCAGATTTCTAAGTAGCTGGAACTACAGGCATGCATCACCACACCCAGCTAATTTTTGGTTTATTGTAGAGATGAGGTCTTGTCAGGTTGCCCAAGCTGGTCTTGAACCCATGGGCTCAGGGAATCCTCTCACCCCTGCCTCCCCAAGTGCTAGGATTACAGGCAAGAGCCACCATGCCTGGCAAAATCTAAGGTTAGAACATTTTCATCATCCCAAAAAGTAACTCCGTCCCCCATAACAGTCACTCCCATCCCCCCCAACACCATCTCTAGGGCAACCACTAAATTAATATCTATTTGAGCACCAATATTTGCACGAGCTCGATCTTCTGTTGAAAGTCAGTAGAAAACACTATAAAAATGGGTTTCAGAGTAGGTACTACTTAAGTTTAAATATATCATGAGAGGCAATGTATCTGCTGTGGTAGAATTTTTTTTTGTGAAGGAACTAATTCCATATTGCACTCAATGAAAGCAGAAATTTCTTTTATTCATATATTTTTGTAGAGACAGGAATCTTGCTATGTTGCCCAGGCTGGTCTCAAACTCCTGGCCTCAAGCAATCCTCCCACCTCAGCCTCCCAAAGTGCTGGGATTACATGCATGAGCCATGGCGCTCAGCCTGAAAACAGAACTTCTAAGCACTTCATTGGTTTCCTCATTTTATCCTGAATAATGATGCTGTTTTCTAAACCTTGGCTGTCTCATAGTTCAGCCTTCCTTTAAGGTAAGTGAGATTTATAAAGTAGACATAAAGTTCCAAAACTCAAAAACAAACTCGAGGTCTGATGATAGGAAAGGCTTCAATGAAAAGCAAATACAAACACTCCGGAAGCCTTGAAGTGGCCAGATAAGTTGCTAATTGACAATGACCCTAGAGCCAGGAACCTTTTCTTCTGGGCTTGGATGTGTCCAGAGCTTGTCTGCTGTAAGTGTTATTTGCTTGAGATAATCTTCTGAAATGAAATGAGCAAACTAAGCCTAAGACTAGGAAGCCACTTTCATTATTGTTGTGACATTCCCGCCAACTGTCTCGTCTTGCTGCACTGGTATCTGTTGTTTGTACTGAGATAAGAGAGAAAACAGGAAATGAGGTTGTTATCTCACACAGGCAAACAGCTACAACCCAGGGGTTTCAGGGCCCAGCCTTTCTAGCCAGAGGTTTGAGGAGCTCTGGGGGAAAAAAAAATAGAATGTCGGCACCAGATAATACTAAGAAAAAAAATTTTGCTCCAACAGAAGTGAGTGCAGCACAGTGAGCTTTTAAAAATTATTTTTATTATTTTACTTTATTTTTTTGAGTTGGAGTCTCACTCTGCTGCCCAGGCTGGAGCTACAGGCGCGCACCACCAGGCCCTGCTAAATTTTTTTGATTTATTGTAGAGACAGGGTCTCGCCAAGTTGCCCAAACTAGTCTTGAACTTCTAGGCTCAGGCAGTCCTCTCGCTTCTGCCTCCCAAAGTGCTGGGATGACAGGCTTGGGCCACCATGCCTGATCTTGAGCTGGCTTTTGATATCCGGCTCTAGACCAGTTAAGGCAGAGAGACCTTACCCACAATGACTGCAGATGTAAATCTTATTAATTTGGTCTCCATCATGACCAAACGATAAGCTTCTTTTCCTCTTAGCTATTTTTTTCCTTTTGCCTTTAATAGCTACCACTGTAGCAGAAAGACATTTTGTGCCGGTTTGCTCTTCAAAATGACTCACTATAAAGTTAGTTTCAGTGTTATTTTTTGAGATTTACACAAATCAGTTATTAAGTGGATGCTTTTGAAACTGAAGGACTAGTCTGATCAGGTGTTCCCAACTTGACCGGCCCTGCTAGCTTGATGCTATTTTTTTTTTTTTTTTTTTTGAGTTGGAGTCTCACTCTGTCGCCCAGACTGGAGTGCAGTGGCCACTTCCGGCCACCACAGCCTTGACCTGCTGGGCTCCGGCGATTCTTCAGCCTCAGCCTTTCAAGTAGCCGGAATTACAGGCATGCGCTACGACGCCCGGCTGATTTTTTGATTTATTGTAGAGATGAGGTCTCGCTGCCCAGGCGGGTCTCGAACCTGCGGGCTCAGGCAATCCACTCACTTCAGCCTCCCAAAGGCACGAGATTACAGGCTGAGCCACCGAGCCCAGCTTGATGTTATTTTTTAACCTATATAGCTAAAAGTCACGCCACTCAATGCTATAACCTAAACGTTATTGTTGGCTTCCTCATAGATAATACTTCTGACATATGTCACCATGGTAACAATGGCTTAAATTGTTTTTCAGGATCCTGGGGGCAGCCCCTGTCCAGGTCAGACCAGGTGAGACCACCAACACTTGCAGGAAACCTTTGCAAATGCCCACGAGGTGGCCTCTGATGTTAGAGGGTCCAAACTCCGCCCTGGGATCTTGCTAATACTGCCGAGTTCTTCCTATTGACGGTCCATGAACCCGGACTACGCTGACTTCATTTCTCTGTGTTGTCATCACATTTCCCTATGCCTTGGATCACCCGACTTCTCTAACCATGAAATATCTCTAAGCCTGATCTTTGGGAAGGCAGATTTGAGAGCTGCCTCCTTGCTGGGCTGCCTTGTGAATAAATCTTTTCTCTTTTGCAAAACTTGTTGTCACAGGGACTGGTTTACGGTTCTCGGACAGAACGAACCTAGTTGGTGTCACATTCTTTTTTTTTTGAGTTGAATTCTCACTCTGTCACCCAGGCTGAAGTGCAGTGGCACGTTCATGACAATCACAGCTCATTGCGGCCTTGATGCCCTGGGCTCAGGTGATCCTTCCACCTCAGCATCCCAAGTAGCTGGGATTATAGACATGTAATACTATGCCCTGTTTTTCATTTTTTGTTTTTTTTGTAGAGTCAAGGTTTTGCGCTGTTACCCAGGCTGGTCTTGAACTCCTGGGCTCAAGCAATCTGTGTGCCTCAGGCTCCCAAAGTGCTGGGATTACGGGCATGAGCCACCAAGACCAGCTGGTATCACTTTAATAACCAGTAATTTAACTCTGAAGAAAATATAAGTCCCTTTTTTTTTTTTGAGTTGGAGTCTCACTCTGTCACCCAGACTGGAGTGCAGTGGCCGCTCCCGGCCACCACAGCCTCGACCTGCTGGGCTCCGGCGATCCTTCCGCCTCAGCCTTCCAAATAGCTGGAACTGCAGGCGCGCGCTACTACGCCCAACTAATTTTTGGATTTATTGTAGAGATGAGGTCTCGCCAAGTGGCCCAGGTAGGTCTCGAACCCGCGGGCTCAGGCAATCCACTCACCTCAGCCTCCCGAAGTGCTGGGATTACAGGCTGAGCCACTGAGCCCGGCTTAAGTCCCTATTTTAAAGTATTTTTATTTTACATACTTTATTTTTCTTTCTTTTTTTTAGTTGGAGTCTCACTCTGTCACCCAGGGTAGA